TAAAATTACCAGAGGCCTAGAGGCAAGAAAACAGAAGTCTATTGCCCCAAAAGTGTAATAGTATAAGAGAATTGTTAAGGACTCTAAGACCCTAGTCCGAGGTCATGATAAGAGTTACTTCTAGAAGGGTTTACTGTGAGTAGCACCTTAAGGTAGTCAACCTTCAGAGGGGTCAATCGGGAGAGCTATGTGGCCCTTATCTAGAATAATAATATGAAATATAGTAAAACCAGATAGATGTTCAGGGGCTGCAGATACTTGTAGCAGTCTAAGTGTATATTAAAAGATAGTTCCACAGTTGATATCACATCTGCTCAGGCATGACAGCTTGCCACTAACTTGTCTGCGATGAGAAGGGTTTTTAGTTCTGCAGTTACATTATAGATGCAGCAGCTAAAACACTTCTATCAGATAAACATTCACAAACTACAGAGTAGTCTAGTTCGCTATGGAGGATCTTTTATCCGACCTGAGGAGGTTAGCAAGACAGCTCAAGGGAGTTGGGTGCTCATAAATGCAGAGTAGTGATAGGAAGCAACTGGTCATATTTGAAAGTTACTTAAGTAGATGCAAGTTGTCCTCTACTATGGTAATCAACTACCTCTTGAGTTCAGAACTTGATTGAGTAAAGCTGTAGCTTAATCATATTAAGTTTTACTGTTTTGTTTCTTCAAACTCTACTGCTGAGACTTTGAAATTTTATTATATTTATTCCCTAAAGAATTCATCGCGGTACAATCGTAACCTTCAAATCCATCTTGCTAGAGGTAGTTCCAGTTACAGCTGGTCCTGTTAGTCGGTCATAGAGGTTTAGATTGGGCATGGTATACATAAAAGTCTAAATATATTGTTCTTACATTCATCTGTTTCCATATCTCATAGGGCCTTACATCCATCCTTAAGTGGCACATACTGACTAGTAAACCCATGCCGAAAGCGAGTCTATGAGAGCCTGGCAGAGTGTTATTCTTCTCCTTGGAGGCTATCCATTGCCGGTTAATACTATATAGTTATCAGGCTAACCTGTTTACACATTATTCTCCTGGAGCTAGGTAACCTGTTTTCCATTATATTCCAGCATCCTGTGTCTTTGTTTAAAGTAGTCCATGTATCATGTTAACCAATAGTAGACCCTCTCACTTGATATTGCTTTGAAAAAGGCCAGTGAGTCTGCCTGTCACTTGACTGTTTGTAGTAATACTACTACAAACATATTGGCTACTCCATGTTCTTTGGAAGTTAATCCCCTTCTGAATCTGGATGGTCCTCCTCTACATCTTCCTCCTTTTCCTTCGTTATTCTCATTATTACTCCTATTATCCTGGTTATTGCCCAGTACTATTAGATTATGGGAGAAGTCTCCCCAAGTTTATCCCTTTCTTCTACATCTTCTCATTCTATGGGAACTGACTCCAACATAGCTTGTTCACTTTGGATGGTACTATCTAGTGCTTTGATCTTGTTGAACAATAAAGCTAAGGTAACTGATATATAGATTTGATTCCTTTAAATAGTAAAGGTGAAGTCTAGGTACCTTTTTACAAAGTATTCCATTCAATAAGCCAGATTAGATATTTCTGTTTGAATTGCTTGATTCTCTTGTGTCTGTTGTTCTCTAAACTCCTGGAATATTCGCTCTAATACGTGTTCCCATTCTAGAGCTTCTAACTGCAGTTGAGTCATCCCCCACTCATGATGCTCTTACCGTGCATCTTGCTCTGCCAACTTCAATTCAATTTCTCAGATTATCTTTTCTTAAACTTCTCAAATGTTTGCTTCTGCTAAAGTACACTGATGTAACATAATCGCTTTGTCATTTTCTTAGATATCATGTCCCTTCAATAATTGTTGTTGGACTTCTATCAGCACTGATACATTGACCTGTAAGATAGCTGATAGGATGTTAAAGGCAATATTAGCAGCATCAATACTTGTCAAACTATACTATCATATTTGCCCTACAACTATTCCTACCCTAGCAGTAAACCTGACAGGGTCCACTGCATGGGTATTATGACAAGGTATAGCAGAACTTGAAAAGAGAAAGAGAGCTCTTGAAGTTGTCGGAATACTAGGAGTTTTGACTGCTGGTCCTCCAAAACATTTTCCATAGGTAGGACAGAGAGAGGACAAATGGCTAAAAGGGGTAGAGTTATCATCTCCTAAGATATCTAGTTGTTCTTCCTGGGCTTTCTGCTTAGGAGGTTGAGATATCTCTTTCACTTGCTTACGTGCTTCTTCCCTTACTTGTAACTAGGCTAAGAAGCCCCATTTTTAAGAGGCTTCCATTGGTGTAGATAGATAACTGCATACTTGGTGTCCTAACTAGGTTGTATGGTGGGGTGGTAGGTAGAGAGAGTTGGGAACATGCACATCTAACAATTATCAGTTAGGCAGAATCAATTTGTATCGACTCAGAATCATCTAGGGAAATTAAGATTTGTTTCATAGATTGAGATTTGTCTAAAAAGTCTCAAAGAGTTATTCGTTTAGTTTATAGCTACTAAGAGTAATGTAAAACAGAATAGATATGTAAAAACAAAGTTATATTATTAAGGTCTCTTCTCCACTGCTTGATGATATCTAAAGGCCTGAAAGGGACTTTAATATTTATATTTCACATTTGAGTGTTCATGGACTAGATCTATCTCTCATACAAATTATATATCTCTGTAACTATAATTCGCAATGTCAGGTATTCTCCTAAAGTGTGAATCTCAGGAGACCCTGAAAACTATCACAACCTATTCAGTAATTACTATTTTATCAATTTGGAACTGTACCATTTCCAATAGTCATTATCCGACCTTCAACACCATTTGACTTCTGGTCTAGTTCTCAAGTCGGCCTGTATTGGCCCCAACAATCTTCCTTATTGATGAAATAATCACTTTCATCTATGGGACATGTCTGCAGGAGTTGTCTGATAAGCAAGCTTTCTAGGTTGCCAGATTTAAATCTTCATAACTTCTGATTTAATCTACAGATATTTTCCAGATAACTTCTAATTGATTTGTAGGAAGTTATTCTACTAGATTGATAGATAATCCCTCCATCAGCAACTTCTAGTTGTCTAGCTAGTAGGGCTTTGGTTATTATTTACTACTGATAATAGTTTCCGCAACTAGAGCCCATTTCCTGACCTAGTTATAACACTTTGTATAGTCCATTGTCTTCTTCTGTAGTACTTCCTAGGTATTCTTGACTCTTCTAATCGTCATAAAATTGATGAAAATCTGCTCACTCTTCATAGAGATCCTCTATCATTTAATATCATATCTTTGTATGAACATGTCTCATTACTTATAGTGCATGCTAAAGATGTCCCATTTTAGAATCCTAGGGACTCTCTAAGTAGTTAATGGATTTACTCGCTTCCACTTTCCTGGCCTAGCCATGGCTCCCCTCTCCTTTGATTTGTGAACAGGATCCTGTCAGATGGACAGTAGCAATATACATACTATTATTCTGATATCTTTAATTCTGCGGCATTGTTACAGGACGTAACTAAGATAAATATATATGATACCTTGAGAGCCCTCTAAGTGGGCCAGAGGGGGGTGTTGGAGACCAGAGATTCCGACCCCCAGTGGGGTTACACTACTTATGCTGGTTCCTAGATATCAAATTCCTTTACTCCTAACACTTCCTCTTCTCACCATACCCATAGCCCAGCCAAAGAAATCAAACTAACACCATGATACCTAACTCAGAAGCCCAGCCAAGCTTAAGCTAAGAGTCACATCCTGCTATCCAAACAGGTGGCTATTAGTACAATTCCTTTACCTTACTCAGCAGTCACTAGCAGCTGAAAGTACTTAATTTGAGGTCTCCCAAGTTGACATATCCATGACCAGTCCTTACTAGAGCCTTGCCCTACCAGCCCCACTCCAACCATACTACCAGGCTGGAAGTCACAGCATCCACCCAGCCCCCTTAGCCCTACAGGCAGCAAGCAACATATGATCTACTGGACAGCATATAACTAGCCACAATGGGTGACCATTGTCTCGCTACACCTCTACAGCCCAGACCCTCAACACTAAGCAGCCAGAGACACCCAATAGCCAAAGCCAAGAGCTAAGATAAGCGAAGCCACATGAAGGTAGCTACCACCACCAGCCAGCCAAGGGCTGATAAAACAAGTAGGTAAAGACACCCTAACTGGTACTTCAGAGAGGTGCCGCCTGGATAGGAAACAAGACAAATAGAAGGTGGTAGGTCCCACTTGCAATAGCTGTAACTGCCAACTACCATTTGTAACCACCCCAAACCCTGCACATGACCAAGTATAGCCCAGTAACCAATACTCCAAATGCCCAGAACACATGGGATGCGGGCAACTGAACCTTTGCGTCACTGACAGGATGCACCACTGACACATCTGACATAGGGTTCTTTTTTTTTGCTGATGACGATTTAGTTTTTCAACTCATAATTCAGCTCTATCTCAGTCAGGTCAACTCAAATATAATCTTGTAGAACTAAGACGAATAATTAAAAGTTAGTGATATGAAATTATTAATTGTGGTTTTAAACCCGAATTTCCTATCCAAATACACATTAAAACAATTCGGCTATTATATTAACTTTTACTATTTCCCCAGGAACAATTCTTGCAGAGAATATGCTCAAATCTCAGGACTTTGTCACTGGTATACTCTTGATAAAAGTGATGACCATTTGACTCATTTCTTTCGTCCATTCATGACTTTTCAGGCACTCTTAGTATCATACAGCCCCGGAGGAAGACTCTAGCGAACCTGCGCACCAGTTTTTGGTAGATGCTGGATTCCGAGGCTGAAACCCGTGTCATTACCCGTCCCCGAACAGCCTATCCGTACCGTAGGACAACGGATGATATCATACTCGAGTGCAGTACCGGTACAGTACCCAGATTGAACCCCAACGCCACTTCGACCCCCACCCCCAACTCCAGGCCGCATGTGACTACGGACGTGAAAGGCTTCTAGTTTGCAGAACTTGCGTCGCTGCCTTTTACCTTCCACCCACCACCACCTTGCCTTAACCCACGTTTCCCTCTCTACTTTACTTGTACTCGTACGAGTACTGACGCCCACACTTTTATTTTATTTGGCATGCCTAGGACCAGCACCACTGCGCATTCTCACACTAACAAAGCAGCTACCATGTCTCTCCTACCGGAGCTTCTTCTTACAGTGCTCTTCGGAGCACAGGCCAGCTTCACTCATCCTGGAATTATCCTTCCGTCGAAGGAATTACTGGGCGACTCGGAATTGAAAGCGATAATTAAGAGGACCCAGAAGAGTCGGGATGCTAGGTACGCTCCTACTCTGTCCCGGATTGTTGGACATTAATTGCTTCTTTCGCCCTAGCTGTGTTGGGGAGTCTACTGACTGCTCTTTCTCTTTCCTTTCTGCAGAGAAGTTTTGGGATTCTCGCCTAGGATATGGGAGGCCTTAACCGAAACACTTCGGGCCGGGAATGATCAATTGGCTGCTAATAAATATAACCTGGTGCCCCGAGTACGTGACTTGGTGATACTTGGGAGGAATCTTCTTGCGACCAAGGAAAAGGCTCAGAATTATGCTTCGTAAGATCTCTTCATTAATCTCCATTTGGGAATGGAATCTCTCACTAATTTGTTTTGATTCTCCAGAGACGAGGGATTTGAAGCCGAAGTTCGAAGACTGCTCGATATATGTGTTGATAAAGCTAGCAAACCTATCGCGGCAAACATTGACAAGCAAGCTCATGAGGCGGAAATGCATATCAAGGGAAACTGTACGTACCAGTTCCCTCATCAGTTCTTAATCTTCTACCAGTGGGCAATACCAGTATATTAACAATAATATTTTAGACAAGAAAGTCATGATCACTACACTCCAATTTCTCAACAATCTCATGAGCCAAAATGAAACTCGCAAGCTGCACGTCTGGCTTCACATGTTTGGTACCCCCGCTGCGTCTGCTCCCCTGAATCCAGTCGTACAGGCAAAGGCTTCTCAGAAACCTAAAGGAAAGAATTCCCCGGCAAATAGACCTTCGCCCGGCTCTGGTGTAGGCATTGCTGGCTCAGGTGCGCTTGGCACGACGCAATCACATAAGGAGACAGTAGCCAAGTGTAGCTTTTTATCCGCTGGCTTCAATGCCAAATATTACAAACCTGGGTTTCTTACCGAAGTACCTCGGTTACTCCAACCAGATGAAATCCAGCCTTTGCCTATGATGCTCCAGAATGGGGTAGCGCCATTGGAAGGAACGGATCGTGCAATGCAAGCTGTTAGGTGTAAGTTGATGTTGGCCCAGGGCTATGGACGCAGCCTGCTACGAGAGATTCTTGTCTTCCTTGGAGCTTGGGAGGTTGATGAAGATGACCTTTGCTTCAAAATGATGTGAGTTGTTTGAGTCAAATCTTCTGGCTCCTAGATAGCTAACCGACGTCCAACCGCAGGACGCAAGTCACCGAAGCTATCCTTCTCAATGGCCTAATACCATATGCATTTGAATCTTTTAGAGAGTAAACTCGCCCTGCAATACTGTTTTAGTCTCTACTGATGGTGTCTCCCAACATAGTGAGAAAGACATTGTTACTCCAGCCCAGTCAGTGCTCCTGAAGCTCCTAGCTTCTGTTTATAGACAGCCAGAAACCGGGAGAGACCACAATACAAATTCCTCAACCCATTCCCTTAGCATCTCCGCTCCGTCGATTTTATCGGAGTCACTAACCTCACCTGCCTCGGACTTTAGTGAGGCCTTCGATCCCCCACCAATAATCGAAAGCTCAATACCAACATTTTTCGTTGCAGTTCTTCGCAAGCAAGTCATACCCCCGACAATCAGGATCATCAAACTTCAGGGGGCTATTCGAGAAGGCAAGGCAAAAAAGGAGACTTTCGAGCTAAGTCTGTGGGACTTAGACCGTGTCTACGAGGGGCTCTATCAATTTTTGGAACTACTGGTACTGTTTTCGGAGGATGAGGAAGCGAAAAGGGTTCTAATATCAAGCGACAAGGGGATAGTCGGAGATCTGGTGATATTCCTGAAGGAGTTGGATAAAGCTATCCCCCGCTGGGTAGCATCGAAATCAATCCCACAACCGCCATCATCATCCCCACCATCTCCAGCAGTGAAGGAAGCGGGAAAGGAGGAATCAGACAAGGTATTGAAAGTCAACGAAGCATACCGTGTGGAGCGACCATTCGACGTCTGCCCTGATGACAACTGCGCAGACGGCAGCGGTGACGAAAATGAGGGCGCAGATGGCGAAGAGCCAAACGACGATAGGGGGCTCTCTGAGCCAGAGGAGTTTACGTGGCCCCATATCAAACGGTACCTCGTCATGCTACTTAGTAGCTTCTCGTGGCAGGACAAAGCTGTACAAGACCTTGTTCGGGAGAAAGGTGGTCTACAAGCGGTGCTGAATCAATGTATGATCGACGATGACAATCCTTGTAAGTCTATTCTTTTACCCTCTAAGCTTGAGGTGGCTAAATACAAATACCAAAGTAAAAAATACTAATTCCTTATGCAGATATCCGTGAACATGCAATCCTATGCATCAGAAACCTGCTAGAGAACAACTCAGAGAACCAAAAGGTGGTAAAAGAATTGGAAGCTGTGCAAGCAATTCCCGACGAGGTTCTGGATCGTCACGGATATGAACATTACATTGATGATGCTGGGCGCGTGCAGTTGAGGAAGGTAAAGGGGAAAGGATTTTCTTCAAAATAGTTTTCCCTTGGAACTTTATTTCCCCTGCCACCTGAAATCTCTTTATTATTTTGTTTGCACAATTCGTGTTTTGGTGGTACAAACCATTATAATTTACTTGTAATGACGCTTTCCCTATCCGCGATTGGTGATTAGCTATTAGACTGAGATGTCATATTCAATTTCTACGGTTTGGGTGTCTGACCTAGAGCCATTGGGGTCATAGTTCCGCGAAAGAAGCAGGTATGATAATATTATGATATCGTAAGTGTGAAGCTCCCCAGCTATCGTGTCATCGCAAAGAAATCGGGTGTGCGAGTGATGTTTCGTGAACCGTTTATTCCCGGTGAGCTCGAATCGCTCGTATTAGACCGCATGTTCCCGTTCCGGCGTTTATGAGGGTCCCTACTAAGTCACTTCGGGAAACGGCTCACTGAGTATACAGTAGATGATATTTCTAAAAGAAACCTCGTCGTCCGCGTGTTGTGAGGTCGCAAACTGTTGAAAATGGCAGTTAAGTACCCGTAGCTGGAAACTACGGTGGCGTGCGTACCTCTCATATGAGGACGCGTAAGCAGTGAAAAGTTTTCACCTCCCTATTTCTTTTCTTTTCTTTCTTTTCTTTCCTTCCAAAAGAAGTCAACTCAACTCCACTCCACACCTCTTGTATGAAAAACTCTCCTCACTCCTCGTTCTCTACTCTTCACACACATACAATACAAGGTTCCCTCATTACCATCAGAGCCAACTCTATCCACTGCGTAAAACCCACCTTTCAGTCATTACTGTTGCAACGACAACCGGTTTTATCCTGTCTGTCTACCTCAATTTCCAACACAAACGACTAGACCTCAGAAATGTGTGATCAACCGTGATGTGCCATAGAGCTCTTGTGTTGGGACGTAAGTATTCCAAACCCGAATCTCTGCGCAACGAGCACAAAGATGCACTTTGGGGGAAGGACTTTTGGTTAGATGTGAAATTTTTCTCTGTCTCTAGAGTGTACTTTAAGGTGTGCATGTTCTTCCGATACGGGCACTGCAAAGCACAGTACTGGCGGATGGTATTGCTCATTGATGATTCTTACAGACTCAGGGTGTGTGTCGACTTCAACAGTGTCAAGTGGAGTAGAACTTTTTTTTTTGGTTGGGTTCGGTCTGGGAATTTGGCAAGATCTTGGAGATTTTGTGAAGTGTAAATCTGTGAGGGTGTTCTGGATTGTGGGATGGTGATTTAACTTGTTGCTTCAGGAATGGGGGTTTATTAACTTATTCGAATCTCCGGGAGTAGATCGAGCATAAGCTTATGAGTAGGCTTGGTATAGTCTACCGTTTGGGGTTGAGGAACACTGAGGTGGAGAGTTGGACTACCGGTATGATAAATATGATATCCCAAGTTTTGTCACCACATTTTTGTTTGGTTGCTCCCCTACACTCTCGTCCCAGCTGCCAGTAGAACTCCTCCCCGGAACTTTCTTACTTCTTCCTTCTCTTCCCCCCCCCCCCGATCGAAACAACAAGCAAGTCAGAGGGCAGGCAGAGCACCGTCCACCCCCGAGCTCCACCATTAATCAATACTTTTTCCTTATTCCCCATTTTTATTCTAAAGGCTCTGAACTAGCTGTTCAAAGGATAGCAATTCTTTCTTAAAACGGGGAACGTAAAGGGAAGGGGAAAGCAGAAGAAAAAAACATAGTCGATTTTGACTATTTATATCCTGCCCCTTGTTCTGTCTTGTGTATGGTTAACAGCAGAGAAATAACTTTGGGCAAACTCCTTCTACGGCGTCACGGCTTCAATCACCTCTCACTCTCTTTCTATTTCAACCGTTACACGTCCGCTTTTTTGCCCTCCCATCCCATCGTTTCCGTTTCTGTATCACCTGCATCGATCTTCTGTGTTTATCCACCCAGATCCACCTCCGGCACCCTTTGTCATTGAATCTGCCAGCGCGAGACAGGTCAGGTGCCGCAGCGGAGCGAGCCTCCAACAGACGAGTTCCTGCAAGATGACGGCAGGCGATAACGGGAATACCGCTAATAGCTGTGGGAGTGGCAATAATGGGAGTAGTAGCAGCAGCGGTTGTGGAAGTGGTAGCAATAGCAGTGGTAATGTTGGTGGACACCGTGACGGTTTACGCAACTTAGTGGAAGGCCTCACGCTATCACCAGTTACTTCTCCTATCTCGCCCACATCCCCATCATCGGCTCCACCCTTCAACCACCCTTCACAATCGATCTTTAATAATCCCGGCATCGGATCCTCCGCACCTTCTTTGTTGGCCGTCCCATACAGCAACGCCGGTGCTCGCCTCCACTCGTTCACTTCTCGACCTCTGAGTTATGGTGGTGGAAGTGGGAGTGCTCTGACCGTTGCGAGCTCGAACGTTAAGGCAACTGCTGTAGCTGGGGGCTCGAGTGGGAGCAATGGCCATGGGGCTGGTTCTGATCCTGCTGTGAAGGAGGTGGACGATCCGACAACCCCCGTGAGTCATTTAGACAAGGCTGCTGCGCTGAATACCTTCTCGAGGCTCCTTGCGACGCCAGCCTCGCAGACTGCGTTCAGTCGGAGTGGAAGGAATTGTAGCTATCGAGGTAGACAACTGCTCCGCCCTAACATAGCCTTTTCTTTTCTTTCCCCCCTCTCTTTCTAGGAATGCCGAACTAACATGTAATGATAGGTTCTGATTCGGTCAAGTTGGAAGACTTCCTCTACACTCGTGGTTTCCTGGAAGGGGCTTGCAGTGATGTCACCATCATCACTTTTGGCTCTCGATATTGCCTGCATCGACTTATTCTGGACCGATCGCCTTTCTTCTCATCATGTTTCAACGGCGGGCCTTGGCTAGAATCTACCTCATCGGAGATCTCATTGTCTCCATCAGATCCTAATATCACTCAACATGCGTTTGAACTTGCCCTAGGAAGGTTGTACGGTCATGTTGACAGGGTCGAGGAGGACCGTCATGCGCTCCCATTATTGGCTGCGGCGAGCTATTTAGATCTCCAGGACCTTGCGGAATCTTGTGCCAGTTCCTTGCTCAGGAACCTCGGAACAAGTAATATCTCTACCGTCGTTAGATTTGTCACAAACAGCTATTACGGTCCGCTCACAGATAGACTAATGGAGAGTGCTAAAGCCATGCTATATCGAGATGGGTGGGAGATGAGCTTTGAGGAGTGGGAGGGGATCAGTGGCGAGGTTGCGGCTGAGATCATTGGATATGATGGGTTTTACGTTCCTAGTGAGTGGTTGAGATACTGCTTCGCGAAGGATATGATTGACTGGCGGATTTGCCATTCCTTGTCGTATAATCGTGCAACTCATGAGGGTTGTTCTTTGGATGACGAGGATTACGATGCGGATGGAGCTTCGGCTTTTGACGATGAAGAGACTGACGTTAAGCCCTTGAGAGAACTCTTGGAGAATGGCATCTACTATATCCATATGTCTTTCGAGGAGTTACAAAAGATAGAAATGGACCGAGATGTTCTCGGAAGAAGGACGGTTGCTCAGGACACTATCAGAGAAGCACTCTGGAACCAGATGCAATTGAGGCAGAAAGTTATGAATGTTCCATTGAATAGTCCTGATCTTGGCATTACCGAGACGGAGACCGTGCGCCAACCCACTCCTCTAGGGAGAAAGAGTTCTCAGAGATTGCCGACTCCAAGGTTTGGCGAGAAGCTGGGCGAACCTGGATCCGGGCGCGCAACTCCAACGCGACAAGATGATGGAGATGATGGGCCTGACGGGCCTGATACGCCAACTACCATACGCGGGCGCCAGACTAAGCGCAAGTATTATATTCCTACCGAGGATACGACCACGGTTATTGGAGATTGTCAAGATACTCCTCAACACCTTGCTGTTTCTCATCCAGTGCATCGAGCTTCTGCTTCTAGGGCTTCTGAATGCCAGGCAGGCGCGGAGCGGACCGGGGGTGGTGAAGAAAGGGATTCGTCTATCCCGTTCGAAGAGTTGAGGTACTCCGAGTTTCCACCATTCAGATTTTCGGCAGAGTTTAAGAGCGTTAGAAGTCTCAAAGAGAAGAAGAGAGTGTACTCGAAGACGGTATTTTATGCTGGAAGTCACTGGAACATTTATATCCAAAAAGTCCGCAGTAAGAACCTTCAACTCGGTGTCTACCTCCACCGAGCCAAGGACAGGGAGACTGCAGGTGGAAGCCATGGTAGCTCATCCGCCTCGCGAGATTCTGAAAATATTGGCCAGGTAATTACTGTGGACGAAAAGATCGGCACTCTTGAGTTGCATACTCGCAACACGAGTCATCCGACCGAGGGCCTTGGGGATGTGACTGTTACCACCGATGGAGATATCACAACATCAGCCTTTACCGACGGAAATGTGTCGGGGAGACCCGGTGCCAATACTAGTGCTACCAGGTCTGCCATGCCTCAGCCCTCGCCTCCCGAGGTCGGTGTACCAGCAATTCCGTATTACATCGATTCCAGGCCTATGATCCAGACGTACTTCAAGATATTTAGTCCTAGTAGAAAGGGCAAAGTTTTAAGTATGTTTTCTTCCGGGCCCGATAGTTTTAATTTCTCGCAGAGTTGGGTATGTGGCATCCTCTTTCCCTTGCAATATGGGTACTTACGGTTAATGTAGGGGTGGAAGAGCAGCAGTTTGATACTAGAAGAGGGGATGATCGGAGGGGACGTGGATAAAGATGCCAGACTCAGATTCATGGTTGTTCTCGGTATGTTCTCCCTCCTCCCAATGAGCCACTCTCCCAAGGAAAGATAGCTAACAAAACCTACGAAATAGGTAATGTTTAAACGACAGGATTGTTTAATTAATGTTATTCCAATTCTTACGAAACTGTAATTTTCTACAGACATTCTTTTGTTTTACATAGTTTTTTTTTTTTTAATACAGGTTGGCGCATTTCTTGGGCTTTTTGATGTCTTCTTCATTATTCTCTCCTTATATCTCGATTCTGTTGACTTTGTAGTGACCATTTTGTTTTTATTTCATTCCATTCCGTGGCCGGTAAACTAGCAGAAGGGTGAATTTAATTATTCCGCGAAGGAGGGGAGTGAATCACTTGAAGCCCGGTTCTAATTTAGTGTTTTCTACGGCGAGTATCATAGGAGAAAAGAGCAAAATTGGCTAAGCCCAGCTCCCGTTATCCGTTTTTCCCATCACTCGAAGATGACCTACTGCCTATGATACTGGCCACCCTCTAGCTTACATAACCCATCTCGGGGCTCCTCTTTTTGGCGGGGTCCAAATTCTACTTGACAACAAACAACATTTCTTTCCTTTGAGTCAAATCCAACTGACCCGACCCAACGTTGGAATATTTAAGTAGACAAAACGCCCCTGTACCCTCTAACTTCAAGCAACGGAGTAAAAATGTCCGAACAACAACCCCCAGCACTTGCCGAAAATACTCCAAATCTACATCTCGATGAGGTTACTGGAGAAATGGTCTCTAAGTCAGAATTGAAGAAGAGGCAGAAGAAGAGAGAGAATGATGCAAAAAAGGCTGGAAAGGCCGTTGCGGCCGCTGCCACTGCTCCTCCGGCAGGTGGTGCTGCAGCAACGGCGGTGGGGAGGCAATTGGATGATGGGGAACTTACGCCGAATGTTTGTCCTTCTTCCACCCTCCACTTCCCCTGTGTGAGTGGGCTGATTGATTGATTTGTCCTTATGTGAACAGCAATACTTCGAAATCCGCTCCCGCTCAATCAACCGTCTCCGCGAGACCAAGGCACCAAATCCGTACCCGCACAAGTTCCACGTCAAGGACAAGCTCGAGGATGTCATCAGGGCACATAGCAGCACACTAGCCAAGGGCGAGACAAAACCCGAAGTAGAGGTGCGCGTCGCAGGACGTATCCACGGCATACGTTCCGCCGGCTCTCGCCTCCGCTTCTACGACCTCCGCGCCGAAGGCGTCAAGATCCAGGTCGTTGCGCAAGGTCAGGAAGCCGTGGGCGACTACCAAGCCCAACACGAGTACCTCCACCGCGGTGACATCATTGGTATCGTTGGTTTCCCCGGAAGGACGAATCCGAAGAAGGCCGACAACCCTGGCGAATTCTCAATCTTTGCGAAGGAGGTCGTCTTGCTTTCCCCTTGTCTACATATGCTCCCTACCGAGCACTTTGGTTTGAAGGATCAGGAGACTAGGTACAGGCAGAGGTACCTTGACCTGATTATGAATAACAGCACGAGGGATATCTTCGTCACGAGGAGTAAGATTGTCTCCTACGTGCGTAGGTACTTTGACGAGAGAGCTTTCGTAGAGGTGGAGACGCCCATGATGAACGCGATCGCTGGAGGAGCCACTGCGAAGCCATTCATTACGCATCATAACGACTTGAACATGGACCTTTTCATGCGGGTTGCTCCGGAGCTGTACTTGAAGATGCTCGTCGTCGGAGGCCTAGAGCGCGTCTATGAGATCGGTCGGCAGTTCAGAAACGAAGGGATCGATCTCACGCACAATCCCGAGTTCACTACTTGCGAGTTTTACTGGGCGTATGCAGATGTTAATGACCTTTTGGATATTACGGAGGAACTAGTTTCTGAGATGGTGAAGTGCATTACCGGTAGCTACAGGACCAAGTTTCACACCCAGGGTGGAAAAGTGTATGAGGTTGACTGGGAGCGTCCTTGGAAGAGAATCGAAATGATGACTGCTCTTGAGGTCGCTACAGGAAGGAAATTCCCCCCAGGGGATCAATTACACACTAAGGCAACCAACGAATTCCTCAAAGAAGTTGCAAAGGCACACGGAATCGAATGCTCTCCACCTCTCACCAACGCTCGCCTTCTTGACAAGGTAAGCACTCTCTCTCTTCTGTCCTGTTCATCTGCTAACCCCACCAGATGGTTGGAGAATTTATCGAAGAAACCTGCATAAACCCCACCTTCATAACCGGCCATCCACAAATGATGTCCCCGCTCGCCAAATACCACCGCTCACAGCCGGGCCTCTGCGAGCGCTTCGAGGCCTTCGTCTGCAAGAAGGAGATTGTCAACGCGTACACCGAGCTGAACGACCCCTTCGACCAACGCCTCCGCTTTGAGGAGCAGGCGAACCAGAAGGACCAGGGCGACGATGAGGCCCAGCTCATTGACGAAAACTTCTGCACCAGCTTGGAATACGGACTCCCACCTACTGGTGGTTGGGGGATGGGGATTGATCGCTTGGTCATGTTCTTGACAGATAACTATAGTATTAAGGAGGTTTTGGCATTTCGTGAGTTTTTCCTTCTACCTAGGGTGGAGCTGGGGGCTAATGGTTTGATAGCATCTATGAAGGATGGCCACTCTGAGAAGAAGAGTGCGGCAGAAGTCGTTGGGGTTCAGCCGGTCCCGTGAGTCTTCTCTTCCTCCTTCCCTTGCTCCTTTGCACTCTTGATTGATTGATTGGTTGTTGGAGTTGTTGGAAAGACTGACTTTTGTTGTAGTGCCGAGAGCACTGGTGAACTACAGTCGTAGATTTTTCTTTTTCTTTTTTCTCTTTTCTTCATCTTTGACTTTGCTTCATTAGAGGTTGAGTGGGTGATTGACTGTGATGCGAACTAAAAGGACAAGCGGGGAAAACAAAAAAATGGATTTCAGTTTATTTATTTTTTATCTGTTTTATTCAGGTGGGAAGTCTAGTTTGAGGTGAATTGTAGAAAAATTGTAGGCATGGTATGATACAAGTACCGTTTAGTGGAATGTAGGGTATGATACCAGTACACCACATACCGGCACACTCGAGTACGTACTGTATATGAAGGGTAAGCTCAGGGTTTAAGTCATGTAGTGTCGCGCACGAGATTTCCTGAGCGACACCGGACTGGGCATTCGCTGCGAAATGTGCAGTATTACCTCTATTCCATCTGCTACGCGACATTGTAAGAACTTAAAATACACTAAGTGGGATAGCCATATATACATAACAACTCCTCCCCCTCTTATCCCACCCCCATTCACTCACCGCCTCGCCTCGCCTCACGACCTTCTCCCCCCCCAACCTTTCTCCCCGCCATCACCTCCAACCTTCTCCTCGCGGCACTGGCCGCAGCCCTGGGCAGCCAAACCCTTGAGGCAAGCACGATAGCGCCCGTAAACAGCGCTAGACTCCCCGCCTGATGGGTAGCCGCTAGATGCGTAGGGACCATGTACACCAAGGTCCCAACGCCGAGCAAAACCTGCAAGATAGCCAAATGCATCACTCCAGTAATCCCCCCTTTCCCGTTCTTCGTGAGCGCCCCGGCGACGGCGGGGCTCAATCTCGAGTAAGCGAACACCGCAGCAATGAAGGAAAAGGTGGATATGGCAAGACATCGGTGATCGAATTGCACGGTTGTGGGGTTCTCCAGCATGTTGCGCCACCACGTGTCCGAGTGATCTGGATGTTGAGCGTAGAATGGGTCCATGAGCTCCGTGAGCGGGGGAATGTACCCGTTGCCCATTTTTGGGAATTCATTGTAAATGAGGCCCGCATCCAAGCCGGCGACCAGACCGCCGGACATGGCGGTTATGAACACCAGTACACCGATCACGCCTACTAGACGGCGGAACGGGCGGAGCACGGGGTTGGATAGCGCGTTGAATTCATCAATCGCGGCTTTCGGGTTCGGTAGTAGAAGGCGGTTCTCGCGGAGAACCGATAGCCCGTTCCATAGCATTGCCGCATACACCGCGAACGCGGTGCCCAGGTGTGCCGTTAAGCGGTACTGGCTGACGCGGGGATGCGCTCCAGGTTGCTGGAATAGTTCGTCTTTAAGACCAGATTTTACCATCCACCACCCTATCCCACCCTGGAGGGCTATTAGCCCGGATATGCCGCCCAGGCCGAACGCCATGCGCCGACTTACGCGCCCACGGGCGACGAAGTAGATTGCTGGCAGGACGAAGAAAAGGCCGATCATCCGCCCGAGAAGTCGGTGCGTCCACTCCATGTAGTAGATGAATTTATATTCGTCTAGGGTCATGTTTGGGTTCAGGATGCAGTATTCGGGGGAGTTGCGGTATTTGCTAAAATTGGATTCCCAATCTTCGGGGGAGAGGGGGGGAAGGGTGCCCGTTATTGGTTTCCATTCTGTTATGCTTAGGCTAGGGGGTTGTTAGTAAGGGGAATTAAAAATTGTAGAATACGGAAGGAAGGGGATACCCGGACTCGGTCAGCCGAGTGAGTCCGCCTAGGACTACTATGCCAAAGACTAGTCCCGCAGAGCCCAGCAGCCAGTAGCCCACGGTCGGGGAACTGATGTCCGGAAAGAATGGCTGGGTTTTGGTACCAGCTTTGAGGGTTTGAGAGTTGTGGGCGAAGGTGTTTGCTAAAGTACCCAACGGAGAAGAGTGCGTTCCGGGGTGGGTGGCGGGGGCTGGGGTGGCGGCCTTGTTGCGGCTTGTATTGGTAAAGGAGAAGTTCCGTACTCGCGGCAGCATCAGTGGGGAAGCCGATTTTGACCTTTCAATCGCCAGCAGTGACCGCGGCAGCCCGAGTGTTGTTGTACGGGAGAGACCTGTACGGCAGATGTTCGCTGAGATTCCCCGCGGGGTGAGGTTTGCGAAAGACATTTTGCTTCTTGCTCGACCTCTCTCTGCAGGACCAGTATTCAGGATTGCTTTTCGTGGTGTAAAGAGTGCCGATTTCAAGAGGGACTACTCACTCAGAGGGGGGGGGTAAGTCAATGAGACATTCGCTGTGGGAACTAAACTCGAGTACTCGAGTAGAGAGGCCCAGAGGGACATGCCACGAACAACTTGGTAGTAGCCGATGGTGGGATGGCCCATGTCCCACGCTAGCCCAGTTGGGGCTTGACCAATCAGGTATGGACGGTTGTGAGCCCTTAAGAGCCTTTCGCATCATGGAAAATCACTTGCACCGGTGACTCGTCTTGATTGGATGCTTCCCCAACCGTCAAGTCCCTATCCAACATAGACACCATGGACCTCTATGGTAACAACTACCCACGGCTGCGGGCTCCTAAGTCCAGATTTAGGTTTGTATAGGATCATACAGCCACTCGTCATAAGTGTTCGTGAATGCTTAGTCAGCAGCCTCGCCAAAAAAAAAAAAAAAAAAAAGGCCAGATTGCGACCGGTGATCATGGTGCCCGTTCAACTCAACGCCTCTACCAAAACCCCCCGTTCTATAATTCAACCATGGTTTACTGATCCAGATATGCCAAACCTGCTACAAAAAATAAGCCTACTCCAAAGACCTCCAGAAGAGAAATGACCAATATTGAAAAAGGCATGATTATTGCCCTTACCTACTGTCTCCGCAACATTGCCCTAGTGGCTCAAATTAATGGCCGGCCCTGGACAACAACTAAAAGCTTCCTAGCATGTGAACAGCAATCATTGGATAATATTCCTCGCCCTGGTTGTCCTTGCCTCCTTACCCAGCGACAGCATCGCACAATCGTTCAAGCAGCCAAGTCAACTCGAAAAATGACAAGAGCACCCGGCAAATCACTTTCTAAAAGTAACAAAAAAAAACTCAGAATTTTGTACTACACTGAGAGCTTGTACTACCATGACCACTCCCAGGCTGAGTGATAGGATATGATTTCAGTTAACTAACTTACAATAGTGGATAGAGTACTCAGAGAAGCTAATATCAAAAAATAGCTAGCCAAATCAAGATCCAGACTCAAATCTGAGCATGTTGCTAAGAGATGGAAATGAGCAACTGCTCATAAAGATTGGACTGCTGAGGATTTTAAAGGAGTTATTTGGAGTGATAAATGCAGTGTGGAGAAATTCAAGGATCCAAGGCAACAATGGGTTTTCAGAGAGCCTGGAGAGAAGTGGCTGGCTGAGTGTATTTATCCAAAAGAGAAGGATAAGGGATTTTCACTCATGGTTTGGAGGTACTTTTGGGGTAAAAGTAAAGGTTCTTTAGTTCCTATTACTCAATATATCAATAAGATCAGGTATGTTAGACTTTTAAGAAGACATCTTTTTCCAGTTATTCATCAAATAGTTCCCTTGGGTATACAACTTGAAGATATTCTTTTTCAGCAGGATAATACTCTTGTTCATAAGGCATATAGTGTCATGGATTGGCTTGAGAGAAATTGTATTTAGGTTGAGGAGTACCTCCCATATTCTCCTGATTTGAATCCTGTTAAGCATGTATGAGTTGAGCTTAAAAAGCAATTACACCAGCAATATCCAAGAATTGGAGATACCCCAGGAGGGAAAGAAGCTGTGAAGAGGAGTCTTGCACATATATTACCACTGGTTTGTGAGATAATTCCTGAGGAGTTTTTTGAAAAGTTGTGGAAATCAATGCCAGATAGGGTAGCTGCAGTTTTGGAGGCAAGGGGAGGATATACAAAGTACTAGCTAGTATTATTTCTATTTCTATTATTCAATTTATTATGGGGTATTGTGGTTGATCAGTTGATTGATTGTTCACCATGGTTGATTGTTCACTATGGTTAATTGTTCACTATGGTTGATTGTTCATGTGCATGATCACCGGTTGCAACCCCACCATGGTATAGCGCCATCGCTAATTAAACAGGTCTCAGAACACGAACGCTTATGACGAGTTGCTGTACATCTATCATACACAGAATTTTTTTCGAACCCACTGCAATAGCCATTTCCTGATCACGTGCGGTTGTATTATGGTGCATTGGTTGCGGTGGAGGGTATGAGGGTGGGCGTGGACTTTGCAGGTCAGGAAGTAGTTTTTCCAGGGGAGAGGAGAAGACTTGCAATGTACCCGTAGGCGAGCTTCGGGTGGGTGTACCAATCCAATAGTTATCCTTCGGCGGGGGGAATCTTCCCAGCAGGAGCTAATGGGCAATGCGGTCTTCTTTATATAGAATTTGATTGTGGTCTGGGGGGGGGCACTGTGAGGGTTGGTTGAGGATGGCCGAGTTAGACCAACCTCCTATCATCTCAGTCGCACCCCCAATTTGTCCACCCGGCAGCTGGCGTTACAAATTTGTTGCCACCACATCCTGGATTTGAGGCCTCTCCAAGGGAGGATTTATTTCGATTTTTTTTACTTGTATACTGCGCGATTTGGTGGTGGGAGGCGATGATATCGTGCTGATGACTTCGTAGAGAATACTGAACCTTTGAGACGCTATGCTGGTTTGTACTGACCTAGAAGAAGCACGCCTGGAGTTCCGATCTAGCATTCTGGTAGACTATTTGTATTTGTATTCACTAGAGGATAATTGTCTACCTGTATGATATTATATCTTTCAGGTACTGTACTTGGATGTGCTGATCGGAACTACCCTTTATGGGGTTCGACCCCTGCAGAAAATAGGAGGTTGAATGGGTTCTCTCTATATATTGAGGAAGTTTATGCATATCATACGAAAAAACATCGCCGGGGGTTCTCGGAGACCCTACCCTAAATCTACCCTAAAGTCTGCAGGCCGAAGGAGAAACCTTGGGGGGAGTTTGGCGCACTATGGTTTGGAACTTAACAAGAATATTGAGTTCAAATCAGGGTCTTAAATCAGGGGGTGTTTGGTGTACCACTTCTGGACCCCGATGTGAGATCAGATCTAGGTTTTGATTTAAGTGCTTGATCTGGGGCCAAAGCTAATGAGAATTATTCAAGTTTGTGAATAGTATATTTCACGATAATTCTGCAAAGAAAAAAATCCTTAATAAAGGCTTAATTTGGTTTAACATCTTCAGTGTTCTAAAAAAAAAAAGGAAGTCAAAAACAAAACCAGGAGGTGTTTGGTACAGTATCGTACACCCCGAGATCCTGATCTCAATCCTGGATCTCAAAATTTCTGGATTTGAGTGTGTAAAAATTTGATCTCAAAATTCCAAGACGTCAACTGAAATCGGACATTTTGGAGCGCCAAAACACCTTAAATTTAAGATATTGATATTCAGATTCGAGCCTTTTCGAAGCCTCTTATATAAATGCTACTTCCAGCTTCCTACACGGTGGCGTAGCGATGGCAACTCTGGTTGGGCCGTTGTCACCTAGACTAAGATAAATTCTCAGTGATGTGGTATTGTAACAGTACAGTACAGTACAAGTACAGTCTTGTCCAGAAAGTTTTCATACCCTCGCATGGCAACCACACAACCACAACCCCCAACCATAAAAATTTCAAAAAAAATGTAAAGAATTCAATTAAAGAAAACTTGATAGTATTGCTAGTAGACAATAAAAAAACATTATTACCATTTTGTATGGCCTCCATTTGCATCCAGTACAGCTTGCATTCTCTCAGGCATCTTATCTATTTATTCATCCAACTTCTCTTAGAGAATTAAATTCCACTCTTCCTTTGCTGCCTCAAACAATTCAGCTGCACTATGAGGCCTTCTTTCCAGTCTGGAGAATTGCTTGGTAAGGGCTCTTTTGAGTAGTGCCAATGTGTTCTCAATAGGATTGAGATCTGGTAAGTTGGGTGGCCAAGGAAGTTTTTTGTAATCACAGTCTGCTTCCAATTTTCGATTTTCCTCACCACCATGCCAGGAAGCATTGTCTGCACCAAGGTAGATATTGTCAGAAGGTCTATCCAGACCATCTATAAAAGGGATAAGGTAAGGCTGCTGGATCTCAGTTGCATATTGGTAAGAGTTTAGGCCAAGTCTGTCTCTTTTACTGGTCCTTTCCTCCTCCCTTCTCTTTCTCACAAGAATTAACTCAGTCTTTCCTTCCTTCATCATTGCAGCATATACTCCAATGCTAGTCCTTCTAGACTTAAAGCTAGGCTTTATGTTTTTTTCTTCCAGCTCTTCACCAGGTCTAACTCTGACCTTTCTGCCTGTTAGATTTGGATCATAAACAATAGTTGCTTCATCCACAAAAACAACCCAATTCCATGCCCCTTTCCAGTTCCTCCTTCTCCTAGAAAACTCCCTTCTTTTCTCCTCTTGTCCTTTTCACCAAAAAGGCTTCTTCCTAGGTATCAAAAGCTTAAAACAAGCTTCTGATATGATCTTATCAATAGTGGTGTTACCAAGACCAATATTCACTTTTTTGGTAATATTGCATAACTCTAAATGTGGCTTGGCATTTATAACTGACTCCACTATCTTTCATTTTATGTCAGTAATCTTGGTTGCTCTTCCACCTCTTTTTGCATGCTAAGTGTTTCCACCTCTAAATTTAGCTCTTTTGACTACAGACTGAACAGTTGACTTGGATACACCTAAAGACTTACAAATTTTGTCATATCCTATATCTGTATGTTTATACAGAGTATAAATTTCCTTATTCAGGTCTTCTCTTACTCTTAGGTTATGTGGAGGGGCCATGGTGAGGAGGGTTGTTGTAGTAATAAGGTGTTGTAAGGTTGCACCTTGCGGGTACGAAAACTTTCCGGACATGACTGTACAATGCTAGGCTCCTCAAGCTCCTCATCCTCTATTTCCCCCTCTAGCTTTTCCCTTCCCTTTTAGGCAGGAGGTCTGGGGTCAAAGTACCATCCAAACCTCATGATCCTCTCTCCAGTATTGAATTTTAGGGTGTTGGAATATTGTCCCTGTGTTTCAGTTTCATACTTTCTATTGGTTTCCTATAGAATCTTCTCAGGCTTTCCTTTATATCTTACTTAATATTTGAAACTGTTATCATCCTGTTGTCCCCGTAATGTTTTCTTTCTATCTCCTTGTGGTGAAAATTTCTCTCTTGTTTCTTTCATATTTCAATGGTATAAGTCTTTTGTTCCCTTTACGAGAGATGAAAATTTTCATC